ATATTATTTCAATTAAAAGCCTTCTGGAACAGGAAGGTTTTGACCTGGCGCCGAAATGTCATCAGTGTCGGTGCCAGACGAATCTCAGTCGGGAGGGCATTCTATAGTCTGGGGGCAGCTGCTTATTCAAGCACTATCTGGTGACTCAAGCCATTTATATAATAAATCCCATCATTCAGTTGCCTTTAGTATTGGACAGTCTTTCAACACCTCTGATAGAATATCCATTTCTGCCACTTCCCATATCTTCTCAATGAGTTCCTCTTGTTTCGGTATTTCCAATTTCTTCCAGTTCTTAGCATCAAGAATTCTGGCTGCAGTGACTATATATATAACTAGGTAGTTCTTTGTCTTATCTATATTATCTGGTGTAATGCTCAGTAAAAACAATTCTGGGGTTAGTGGAACATTACAAAGCAGTATTTTTTGTAACAGAGTATGTACGGCTATCCAATACTGTTTTACTACTCTGCAAGTCCACCACATATAATAAAAGCTTCCCTCTTGTGCTTCACACTTCCAACAAACATTTAACACCTCTGTATAAATCTTTAACTATCTTTTTGGAGTCATATGCCACCTATAAAACATATGTTCTCCTTAAAATTTACCGATTTTGTGTTTTATGTTATTTTTCCATATTTGCAACCATTGATCCATATCAATATTATGTCCTATATTTTGTGCCCAGCTTATCTCATCTAAGGAATGGGTTACGGACTCTTGCTTAGCCTTGCCCCAAATCCAAGAGACCTCCCATCTTTATCCTTCGCTCGTGATTCCTCTCCCCCTCTCTCTTTTCCTCCTCTTGCTGTTCTAGGACAAGGGCAAGTTCTGTCTCACCTATGAGGCATCCATGACCCGTCTGTTTCGGGAAGGTCGTACAGAAACGGTCCGATCCTGCAGCATCGAGTCCTGCAACTTTGTCAAGGCCATGATGGATCCCACCCAGGATGTGAGTCCTGCCATGCAGGTGGAATTGGCCTTGCCAAGAACAGGATGGGAACGGGGTGGTATTATTAAGCAAAATGGTTGTGTCTGCAATGCATTGTTTTTGTTGGTGTTAGTATTCTATGTTATTTATTGGTTACATTTCTGTCCCACCTTGCCTCTCCAGTGAGGTCAAGATGGCTGTATAGTTCTCCTCTCCAGCCTATCCTTACAAAAGCCCTGTGAAGTCAATCAGGCTCAGAAAGTGATTTGCCCGAGATGTAATTCACTGATTGGCTGAGTAAAAATATGAGCCCAGTCCTGAACCAACATTTTAACCACTAAACCACACTGGACTGGTTTAGTATTATTGCTGCTACTATGCTATCATGACCTTCACTGCTGTTGTTATTATAATAATGTGCAATCAACGTGATTCTGACCTATGGTGACCCTTTCTGGGGTTTTCTGGTTAGAGACTACTCAGAAATGGTTTACCATTCCCTTCTCTTGGGGGCAGGCTAGGACAGTGCATCTTGCCCAAGGCCACCCAGGCTGGCTCTTCTCACAGAAGACACAGCGGGGAATTGAAATCTCATTCTCTGGCTCTGCAGCCAGATACCTAAACCATTGAGCTATCCAGCCAGCTATTACTGTTATTACTATATATCTATATGAACTGCTTAATATTTTCTAAATGTGCGATACAGCTACTGAAAGATAATACAGGCCCTGTCTGTGGATTTACAGCCTAATAGACCCCATAGGAAAAGAAAAGAAAAAAAGAAGAAATGGGGAAGAATTATAAAATCAGGTGTACTTTAATAAGTTGCTCTCTCCTTTCTACCTCTTTGTCTTGTATTTTTGAAAACCTTGAGCGCTTCCCGGCTCTCACTGTGAGCTGCCCAACCTCCCTCAGCTCAGAATCAAGCGTTGTTACTTTTAACAAATTACGCTTAAGCTTTATTGCAAAGTAGTGGTCCCACAAACATCCCATAATTCAACCACGACCATTTTGAAAGTTCTCTCTCCAATAGTAAAGTACTGCATCTCATCTAGGACACTGGCAAGCAGTCTCTGAAGAAAATTTCCGTGTCTGAGTAGACATTCATTCATTCATTCATTCATTACAGTCTCTGAAGAAAATCTCCGTGTCCGAGTAGACATACAGTACATGTGGAGATGTAATCCTCTTCCAAGTTAGTTTGGGAGGAGGAGTTAGAATGTGGGGAGCAACAACCTCACCCCACCCCACCCTCTTTTGTTCATGCCAATCTGTTTCTCATCCCAGGACAATGTAAGGTTACGTCTGTTCCGTGTGGCAGCCGAGAAACACCAGAATCTTTACCGGCAAGCCATGACAGGTGCTGGGATTGACCGACATCTCTTCTGCCTCTATGTCGTCTCCAAATATCTTGGCCTCGACTCCCCCTTCTTGCGTGAAGTAAGTGCCGCCGGGTCAATATTTGTGCACATGTGTACATCTGTATCTTTGTGGTAATACTTAAATGTCGAAGGAGAAAGGTTCTCTGAAACTGAGATGACTCTAGAGGAGAGTGTGTTCCCCCACCGCCCCGTGACTCTTTTAATCCCAGAGTATAATTTGAAGCAAGCAAAGTGAAAAGTCCTGCCTCTTTTACCTCACAGGTTCTTGCTCAGTTGAACCAACAGAGAAAGTTGCATGCTGGGGACTGAAAATATGTTTTCTTAATTAAATGCTTAAAAATTTAAAAAAAAAGAAATGCTTTTTGATAAGCTTTTTTAAAATTGCTCTAACCTCATCTCCCATGGGTTTTAAAATGTGTTGTGCCTACTTTGTCTTCCATTTTTTAATTGTTTTTCCCAAGATTGAATGCCACCGGGCATGTATTTGCCTTGGGCATTTTTATTAGTCATTCACCTAATGATTTTACCATATGATGTGCCAGTGCTGAATTTTGCTGTCAGCATGAACTGCATGTTAAACCTCTTTTCTGGGAGTACATTCCTCATTTTTTTTCAGTGGCTGCCCATATTAGCTGGAAACGATTGAGGTTGCTATCCAACAATTTCTGGGAACTCGTAGTTTGGAAAGAATGGCCTAAAGATTCAGGTGAATCTGTGTACCTGCTTAAAGATTAGGCAATACAAGTCCTCACTCAGCTCATAACCTTTGTTGAATCAATCTCTGGGCCCAAATGCGTGTTCTCTGGATAAATGCCTGTTCTTTACCCAATATATTGCTGAGACAATTGAGAAAGGGAAGGTAGTGCTTTCAGGTGATAGAAGGAATTGTTTAGACTAGCAGTGGTTCCTAATCTTGGGTCCCCAGATGTCCTTGAACTACAGATCCCAGAAATCCTAGCTAGCACAGCTAGTGGTGAAGGCTTCTGGGAGTTTTAGTCCAAGAACATCTGAGGACCAAAGGTTGGGAACCACTGGTTTAGAGAATCCCTCCTGTTCATCTGGTTGTCTCCATACTGCCCCCATCAGGTGATTTCAGAGCCTGGCAAGATTTTTATCAAGGTCTGCTGGAAAGGTGTGTATTAAGGGGGAAAAGAAGGGCACGAAGAGTTATAATCTCATCTTCCAGTCTTCACCCCACTGGAAGTAGAGAGTGCCACCTGGTGGTTCCAGTCAGACCCAAGTGGTCAACTCTTGTGCGCAGAATCTTAAATGAATACATATTCCAAGAAAGCTGGGTCTTTGTCATTTAGATTGGTTTAATAGATAATTGCAGCAAAGGGACAGGGGAGATTCTCTCCATCATTCCTGGAAGTAAATTGCCAAAATACTGCTTCCCTTAAAATGATGAAGAGTTAGACACTTGTAATAGAAAGGAAGAAAAACTAGGATTCACAGCCATTTGGCATGTTGAGTGACCAGATTGTCATGTGGCTGATATAAACCTGTGTGTCCTGCTTCCCTTATTTACCATCACCTTATTCTGCTGTAGTACATGGTCCCCACAAGCCTATGTATGCTTGCAAATAAGATTGCACCTCTTATGCTGTGGCTAGCTTTGGGCATGCTGTCTGGGGAAGATGGGAGATGCTGTCCAACACATAAGAGAAGCTAACAGATACAGAGAAACTGCAGATATTTCCTTCTTAGTTCTCTCTCTTAGTTGCAGAAATGCGAACATGGGATAGAACAGCCAATCTAAAGCATGGGAAGAATTAGGTTGTGTTAAGAATCTGGGACTTCATGACCCTGAAAACTTAAGAGAGCAGAACTTTTGGGGGGGAAAGATTGTGTAGCTAAGAGGGCAGAGAGAGACAGCTAATGGTGTCAAGGGCCTCTTGGTCTGATCCTCAATCCATGTCTTCTCTCGGTCAGGTGCTATCTGAGCCGTGGCGCCTCTCCACGAGTCAGACTCCTGTTCAGCAGCTGGAACTGTTTGACCTCGAGAACCATCCAGACTACATTTCTTGTGGGGGCGGATTTGGGCCGGTGAGTGGAGTCCTGGACTTTGGGTTTTCTTGTGGGAAGGACTGTGCTCTAGTTGAGATGGGATGATGCTGAAAGGCAGGACTTGGGTTTTCTGGGGGGAAGGAATGTAAAGGACTGGTGGCCTAAAGCTGTGCAAGTGGGATTTAAGATACAGAACCCCTAGATTCTATAAGAGCACTTGTCTGCTGGGTGTGTGTGTGTGTCTTAAATTGGGAAATTCAGTTTTATACTGTTTCCCCCCCTTCCCTGTACCCTAGGTCGACGATGACGGGTATGGTGTATCATACATAATTCTTGGTGAAGATCTAATCAATTTCCATGTGTCATGCAAAGTCTCCAGCCAAGAGACGGTGAGTGAATGGGAAGCTTCTGGGTTTGCCAGAAAGTGAGAAGAAAGTGGGCCAGGGAGAGGAGCAAGGGTTGGTGGGGTTGATCTCTCGTGTAAGCCCTATGTAAAGAGTGGAGAAGGTGCTGGGATCAAAAAGGAACTCTCCTGCAGATCAGGCTACCTAGTGACTTTGTGGATAATCCTTGCTACCTTGTGCTAGCAAGGTTTCAGATGAGTGTGTTTTGAATGTAAATATTATCGCATTGCTAGAGAGACTAATTAACCATCTATAGCTGCTTTCTATAAACTATAAAACCTGACTCATTGGAAGGCCCTTGCTTCCCATCCCCAGCATACAAGAGCTGTTACTATATAAAATTTCACCTGAATGTTTCAAGATCTTCTTCCAGTCCTCGGACTGACAACCTTTCGTGTCGCTTTAGACTCAAGCTTTAAAAGATGCCATTCAGCAAAACGGATGTATAGATGTGTGCCAAGTTCCTACATCTCCTTATTACCATCACCACCACTTTCTTCCATAGGATGCACACCGTTTTGGATTAAACATCCGGAAAGCCATGGCGGACATCTTGGCCCTGTTCCAACTAAACAAAAGAATCCCTGCCAGTGGTGGCCAGTGACTGAATAAATGCCAGCAGGATTGTAGAGCCAGCCACCAAGATGCACCTTGAGTGTGTTTCTCTCTTCTCTGATCTCCAGGGACATCTGGAAAGAACGGGTGGGGAGGGGATGCGTAGGGTTTGGCACCTGAGGATTCCTACAAGCACAATGGATGGGCAAGATAGTCTTGGATTTGGGAGAGGGGTTTGGATACGACAGCCCTGTAGGTGAACCACCTCCCTCCCTGATGTCTCTGTTTATTGAGGGTAGTAGAGACCTAATGGGGTGGAAGTGAAATCTAGATCTCTTGGGTTTCTTTGGGCATGTGTGTGGATGGAGAGTTCTGACTAGCTTAGAATGGAAGAGTTGGGACTTGGGAAAACTGGGCTTTTTCTAGACTACCGTCATGGGATGTTCAGGATAACTTGAAGTGGTGTTTTTTCATCCTTTGGTTTCCCCACTGCTCCCAATCTCTGCCTGCCCTCCAGCCTCTTCAGTACACAGCAGCTGGCTGCGTTTCTTTTCTTGTGCTTCACGTTTGATGGATTCTGTCCATGTGGCTTCTGCTGCTGGTCTTGCTTTGTTCCCATGAGATGCTGCAGATGAGAGCAGGGTAGTGTTTTAAAGAGAACCTTGTTCCTTATTCCCCACCCCTCTAAATAGCTGAGAGAATAGGAGTCTTCACAAATTTTATTGCAAGAGAATGTGAATTTTGATTTACGGCAGGGTTTTATAGCGCAAAGAACTGGTTAATCTTTCTCTGTCTTGGTTTGTTAGGTCAGAGACCTGAATAAAACCACAGGGTGGGCAGTTTTTAAAAAAAACCCAAGCATGCGTGGCCTTTGTTAGTGACTGGCAGAGGAAGCATTGTATGGTGAAACTTGCTTGAGCTTGTGGACCACAGAGGTAGGGGTGATGTCAGACGGCTGCTTCAGCTCTAGAAATGCATGACGATAACCTGTTAGGATCTTGCTTCTGGAAGGGTGAGACGGAATGTGCAAACCTATGCCTCTCCTCAATACTGAGAAAGACGAACACCACTTGTGTTCCATTTCTGCAGTTTAGAAATACAGTAAGCTTAATTTAAATCAAATGCTATTTTTTTGATGTGAGGCCTGAACTTTGGAATATGTTATTGCTATATTGCACAGAAGATTCTGTTGAAGGAGTCCTACGTTATTATGGCAGGATCCCTCCCCCCACTCCCCCAAGGTGTTGGGCATCTAGGGATTTTGTGTGCTCAAATACCCAGATTTAGATTGGTATCTCTCTCAAAAGAAGATCCACCGCTTCCTGGTCTGCTGAAAGCAGAAATGCTCAACAAGGTTCAGGTAAATCTTTCAGTCTCTGATACTCACAGTGAAGCTGAGCTCCATACAAAAGAGTATTAATCCAAACCACAACCTCTGTTCCAAACACTGTGATGGAGCAGTACTCCCTGTGGACCAAACGACACATTGTGTAAAATGTGTAGTGTTATTCCAGTGTGAGAAGTGGTAGATCTGACAGTTATGCAAAATCCTTCCCTCCACTATTTTTCCACCAGTGGGCTCCTCAAAAAGGCAGACTGAAAATTCATATGATCTACATCTGAAATCATGCAGATGGCAAGCACCAGTGGGGGGAAGGGGGAGACACTTGAATTTGGAGCCAAGAAGCAGTAGCTAGAAAATGAGTGTCCGAAGTGTAGCTTTCTAGCTTTCGTTGGACTGCAAATCCCATCATCCATAAACAGCATAGCCAATAATGGTAAGGACTGCAGTCCAAAAATAGGCATCTAAAAGACTGCACTTTGTCCATCTTAACAGCTAGAGGAATGACTCCAAACCTTGGGCCTCCAGATGTGGAACTCCTTGCCACAGGATGTGGTAATGGCATCTGGCCTAGATGCCTTCAAAAGGGAATTGGACAAATTTCTGGAGGAAAAGTCCATCACAGGTTACAAACCATGATGGGGATTTATAATCTCCAGTTTTAAAAGGCAGGTATTTCAAAACACCAGATGCAGCGGAGGGGTATCAGGAGACAGGTATCCGGTTGTCTCGTGCGCTCCCAGAGGCATCTGGTGGGGCCACTGTGAGATACAGGAAGCTGGACTAGATGGCCTGATCCAGCAGGGGTCTTATGTTCATGGACTACAACTCCCAGAAGCCTTCATCACTAGTTGTGCTTGCTAGGATTGCTGGGAGTTGTAGTCTAGGAACATCTGTGGACCCAAGGTTGGGAACCACTCTAGAGAAAGGTGAGAAAGCTGTTTTTTGGCTCTCAGTCTGTGCTTTCCTCCCTGCATAAGCTATAGTTTCTGGTGTGTGTGTGGAACATGATCAACTGTCCCAGAAGGGATAAGTTCTAGCCTGCCTTGGCAAGTAAACTGTACTGCCAGTTCTTAGTGGCTTCTATCTTAAGAGCCAACTCCCAGAACTTGGATTTGGTTTTAATCTGCTAATTGCCACTTTTATAGTGCTGCATTACCCACTTACTTTTTTATTTACAGTTACATGCCTGCACTTGTAAACTTATAAAAATACACATTAAAAAAATTAGAAAAATAAGCAAAACTTCCCTTAAATCTATCCTAGAAGGTATTTGAAATCATGAGTAAATGTTACTTGTTTCCCCCTAAAACAAGTGTTCTATCCGGACATACTGATATTGTCTCAAAATCTACTTGGAAGGGAAGCTGTCGGGTCTGAACATGGACCTCCAAGTAGGACTAGGACAGCATTCTGCCTGAAATGTGGGAGAACTGCGGCTAGTCAGGGCTGACAAGAGGAGGCTTGACCGAGTCCTAGTCTGACGCAGTCAAACTCTCCCTTTTCCTTGTAACCTTTCTGTTCAGGTGTGGAGGCCTTCCTTCGGGAACCACCCTATGGTTTTCTAAAGGAAAGGCAACAAGTACCACATCACGGCCATCTCTCATCTCTCTCTCTCTCTCTTTTATTGGGGGTGATGATTTAGTTCAGCGGGACAAGAGCTCCGCTTGTTGAGGGTACCAGTAGCAGCTATGGAGGTTGCCGGGGACTGGGGTACTCCTTCCTGGGAGACAAGGGACAGCTGAGAGTGGAGGGAGCTCAGCTTGTTCTGTAGATACAGATCCAGGTGGGTGGCCTTATCCCTGCCAGAAAGAAAGAGATTAAAAAAAAAAAAAAAAGAGCATGAGACGGTTTCATACACTGCTTTACCCAACCTAGTGTCAATAGGCAGCATGACTTTGGATAGTATAACTTGTAGGGGAAGACATGTAGAGGGGCAACTGGTTGGGGAAGGCTGGCCTGCCACCTGCAGTCCAGCATTGATCCCCAAGGACAGCCTCCCCAAACAATTCTCTAGGCTGTTGTTCTTTCTGCATCTGCTGTGCTTATTCTACCCTGTTGGCTGCATACCTCATTTAGCACCAAGCTCCGCATGAATGCCGTATGCCTTCCTGTTGATGGAGAGCTGATTTTTGGTGGGGGGAACACAGCATATGGCGCGGAGGAATTGATTATGTTTTGCCCTGCTACACTGCCCACTCTTCTGAGATTCTGCTTGTGGTGTGCTGCAGTAAACATTGCTGAAAAGCTGAGTGTGCTTCCCCCCATCTCAGAATAAGAGTTGTATTCACTTGCAGATTTAGAATGGTTATGAATTTTAGAATTGTACACAAGGAATCTTGAAGGGCAGCTGCTTCAAAATCCAGCTCAAGGTAGGATGTAGCTACTATACCACCTCTGACAGAATACGGTCTAACCTTCTGTTACAATAACCTCCAGCAAAGGAAAGTCCATCCTCCTCTCCCTGTTGCACTTTTGCTATCAGGAAGTTTATCTTCCTTTTGAGCTGAGAGCTGCTGCCTAAACTCATGGTGTCAACTGCCTAAGATGTCTTTCACCTGGCAGTGGAAGGCTAGGAGCAAAGCTGCAGAGCCATGGAATATGCAGGGAAGGGAGGACAACCCCCCTGGGGGTCCAGCTGTGTTTACTTACTCTGTGCTGATTCTTGCCCGCTCCAGATAGTTCCTTGTTCTCAAGGCTTCCTCTTGGGCCAGACGTATGTTTGATTTTGGTGCCTCTGCTCGAGTGTGAGTATCCAAGTTTGACTGCTCTAGTTCCTGTCTCCCAGTGGACGGAGCAATGGGAGGAACAAAAAAAAACACAACAAGAGAGATAGAGAAGGACTACATAACCCCTCATACAACTGGGATGAGAATAGAACACATCACAGAACAAAAGCAGTTTGCCCTCACGGCAACCTGCTACTACTGTCGATTGGGGGACAAGGTCAGTTTGCAGCTTTTTTTGCCCCGGAGCAGGGATATGGCACCTTTAGTTCTCCAAATGTTCTGGACTTCATTTCCCAGAAGCTCCAGCCTCTACAGCTAAAGGAAAGACCTGATGGGACTTGTGGACCAAAATATCTGGAGTGCCAGATCCCCTGGAGAGGATGCCACAGGTGTCAAATTAGGAACAGCAGAACTACCTCAGTCCAAAGCCCGCTGAGCTTCTATCTCTTCTACACTATCCTTACACATCTGCCTCAAACATTTGCAACACACCTTAGTTGCATGGAGGAGTGGAGTGACCAGATCTAAGGTAACGGCCACTAGCAGGAACAACCTGTAAATGACAGAATGTAGTGCAGCAGCCAGTGCAGGAGGACCTGCCAGCCAAAATCATGCAGTACCTGTGCCAGAACGGCCTGTCATTCCCATGAAGCAGGCATGAGAGGTTATTAGTCCTGCGGCTTCCACAAGGGGGTTACTGGTGCCAATGAATGGGCAGAAAGACCAGACACCTCCTCCCACTTTCACATCACCCATTTGTTTTTAACCACCCAGAACCCTCATGCTGGGCTGCCTCAGCCTGGTTACCGGCTCCTGTGAACCACTGCCCACATAGTTCAGCTTCCTGAGATCATGTGGGTGTGATTCATACAACTGGCTAACAGCATCAAGGTGTCCATGGCAACTATGTCATCAGGATAATGGGCAAAGCAGCCCTTCATCTCTAGTACAGGAGCGGAATGTATGCCCACTAAAAAAGATCCAGATGAAATACTTTGGCCTTGTACGCTGCAAAGAGGGATGCCGCTGTGCCTTAAAAGGAAAAGCCACTGTTACGCATTTAATTCTTGATGTGCAGGCAAAATGGTGGCAGTTCTTTTAAAAATGAAGTGCTTGAGGCAGACTCCTGGTTGAACGCCTTCAGAGCTGCTGCCAGTGTGCAGACCAAAACGAACGGTGGCACCGGTTGACCTAAAAGGCTCCAGATATGGCAGCTCCCTGTGTAACTAGTGTGTGCTGAACTCTTTGGAATGTGGAATGGATGGAACCCTTAGACAGGTTTCTTGGCAGTTGCGTTATTATTTTTATATCAAATATTTTTACCCTGCCTGTCTCCTTAAAAAGGAACCAAGGCAGCTTACATCATTGAAAGACAATATTTTAAAGCTGAAACAGTAAGTATGTAAACACTAAAAGGGAATGGATATCACTCAGAGGTGAAGTGATTGTGCATTTTCTTTTGAGAACAGCCTTTCAGGGCCCCTGAGAGGAGCTGTGTTAGTCTGTCTCAGCACAATGAGAAAAATAATGGGGAGGTTGAGAAAAAAGGGGGGGAAATACTGAAGGACAATCAAGGTGTATTTCAGTGTAAGCTTTCAGAGATCAAACCCCACTTTTTCAGATGTAAGGAGTGGATATCCCTGTGTCTGAAGAAGTGGATTTTGATCCACAGATGCTCGCCCTGAAATAAATCTGTCCATCTTTAAAGTCTCACATTATTTTGCTATTTTTCTCTCCCCTGCTCTTTAATGTTGGCAGCTGTCTGTCAAGAGGAGGCCTTCTCTTATCCTCCCTAACACTTAGTTTGTAATCAGTTCATGCTCAGTGCTCACAGTCCTTACCCAAGAATACTTGACTGGAAAAGAGAGCTACCAAATAGCACCAGCTGAGCTAAAAGGCCAAGCAAAGATTTAAATTAGTCTTTCCTATAGCCTAATCGGCTTCCTCTCCTCGCTTGTAAATTTCATTTGCATGATCATTTGCATGAATGCAATATTGCCGGAAGGAAGACTAAAGTTTCACCATAGAATTGCAGGAAAAGATAAGAAAAAATGTGCAGGATTAGACAGAAGGCCTCTATAGTTCAGTGCTTTGGTCCCCAAGTGGCCAACTCTTTCCCCTGATCATGGAACCTTCTTTTTGCTTTGTTTTTATGTTTTCCCCTGATGGAACCTTCTTTTTGCTTTGTTTTTATGTATTTTGTCAAATATTATCAATCTGCCTAGGGATTGCGGGGGCACCATTTTTCTCTCCATTTCTATCACCAGCTTTCTCCTTTTTTTAAATCTTATCTTTCTCCATCCAGTGACTGCAGGGAGAGGGACAGATGGCTCTTAGCAGAGGCTTGAATGGATTAATTTGGAGAGTTAGGCCAAAGAGTACAGGTTGCCCACCCCTACTCTAGTTATTGCCACTGAGATAAGATTGAGAATAAGTCCTGGGAAATAATATATATTTTTAAAAAAAACATTACACGAGTCTCCAAACTATGCAAGAGATGCATCACTAACTCGGACAGAACAAAAACAAGGTGCTCACAGACAATCCTATGCCTGTCTACTCAGAAGTAAGACCCATTGTATTTAGTGCTCAGAAAGTGAGGTGAGGCAGGTAGAGAAAACTAGAGGGGGGGACACCTGTTAATAATTTACATAGACAAATGAATACTGTGCTACAGAGAATTCTGAATACTGCTGCCTAGACGTGTAAAGTTTACACATGAAATAAAACTGCAGCACAGTAAAATGGCAGGACGGGTGAACCATAAATGTTCCTTTCTTTAAATCTAGGTTTAGATTTAATTACCCAGTGGCCCCATATTCTAGAAAGTTAAAAGATTTGTGTTAACATTTTCTATTTTTAAAAATCCCCTCGCTTGTTTATTTACCTCCTACAAGAGAGGGCTGTTCTTATTTCCAGGGAAATGGAACAAATGAAGAAGACTGCAAAATAGACATAAATGAAGAGAAAACCCAGCGGAAAAGAAGCTATGCTTCGGAGTGACTTCAGTCCAGTGGCAGAGCATCTGCTTTGCCTGCAAAATGTCCCATGTCCAAACTTTAGCACCTCCAGTTAAAAATGATTTGGGTGGACTTCTACCAGAAAGCTCCCAGGTTGGCCAAGCAGAGGAGGCAATGCTGGGCTCGAAGAGCCGTTGGCTTAACTCTGGATAACAGCTTTGGGTTCAGGTCCACCCCCAATGTGGGATCTGAGCCCTAAGCTCTGAGAACTGTTTATCTGGCTCATGTCACTTGAAGCCCAGAAGAATGCGCTAGGAAGGCTGCCCTTTGGTCTCCTTTTACTGGGGGCAGAAGGGATCTGGGGATGGCATACTCTGTGCCTCACAGTACCATTATCATCTTCTGCAAATGCTGGCAGCCAGAGCACATGGCTGGAGGGATGGCTCTCTGCTTCAGTTCCTCCAAGATCGGTGCCACAGCATATTCAACCATCTGTCGCAATATCTCTGTATTCACAAAGCTGTAGCCAGGAAAAGGGGTTGGGAGAAGAGAGAGAGCACCATTTACACAGGAAGGAGGATAGACATTCATGACTTGTTTATGTCTCTGCCAGAAGGAAATTTTAAAAGGCTCCAAATGAAAGCATTAAATAAATCACATCAATTCAGTACCACAAAGACGCAGATTTCTGACAGTAAGATATGTGGTGCAAATCCATTATGTCTATAAAATGTATAATTTTGTAGAACACTTGATTTGGCATAGCTTCAATATAAATTTAATATATGAGCTTGTAGGGAAGGGAGGCTGGAAGAGGAACACTACGAGGAGGACAGAGTAAATGGGGAAGATGCAGCTAGCATCTGTGTGTAACATGACCCAGAAAGGCATGAAGGAAAAATAATTGGCCACTGAAGACCCAACAATTCTCACTCCTCTCTGGAGGTGAAATTTATTTGTTTTACAGCAGAGTTTCTAAGAAATCCAAATACTGGATTTTGTGCCGAACAGGGTGAGTGCTTTGACAGTTTGGCAACATTCACAAAAATAATTGTTTACATGGCAATCCAGGTGCTTATATAATATTGCCCCATCTCTTGTGGAAAACATGATTTTCTAGTTCAAAGAAGAACAAAGGTGTGACCAATTGTATTATTAGCTCTGGCTTTACACTGTGCAGATTTCTTTTTCTTTTTTTCTTTTTTTTTTCTTTTTTTGATGTATTTATCATGTCAACGGTCTGCCACAGGGAAATCATTAGTCTTGGAGCATACTTGAAGTCAGAGAAACCAGCCCTGCCACTAAATGCGTTCTCCACCCCAGTCTTCTTGACTCCATCCTTGCATAGCTCCATCTTGGCCTCCTCACCCCAAAGATGGCTGATATTCTTCAGCCCCAGCTTGTTTCTGATATAGGCACCTGGAACATCTGGCACAGCTGGTGGGAGGTCTCTCGGGTGTCTCAAGGTGCTTGAGCATGGAGAGATGCCGAGACACATCTTCCAGGAGTGGTTTCGCTTGCAGTAGCCCATCTAGGTCAGCACGGAGCTGGGTGAGGGACGCTGATGTCTGCTTTGTCCTGCCATGCATAGGAGGAAAGGTCAAAGCATAGCTCTGTGCTGCTGTCATTTTCAAATGCAAAGCCCGGTAATCCTTATATTTTTTAAAAAATGTACATTTCTGCTTAGTGTAAACGTTGATAGCTTTCCAGTCTCTTGTGTAAATAATGTCAGGACTGGGGGAAACTACCAGTCCATCAAAGGAGTCAATTAATGCATGTTTATTACTTCCCCCTCCCTTTAAATCTGGCCAGAGGATTCACAGCGTCACCTTGGACTTTAATCTGATTTAGAGCACATTAGCCTTGGGGAAGCTGATTTAATTTTACAGTCAGATAGAAATTTATAAAACAACATTAGAGCTTCATAAACCTTATTGCATGCCCTATTCATATCTTTAAAACAAGAAATAGGCTGATGGTAGAAGCCGAATACAGATCAGGCCTGGGCAACGTGTTGTTGAACACAAATTCCCATAATTCCTCATGGCTAAATGTGCTGCCTAGAGCTGATGGGAGTTGCAATCCAACAACTTTTGGAGGACCACACCTGCCCCAACCAAGGAGTGCCCATCAGGGGAATAGGACTTAATACCACCATTCGGTGGAGAGAGGTACCTGGCAAAGGAGAAAATGGACACCAGTGGAATGGCCAGATGTGATACTCTCACAGTATGGCGGCAAGTAAGCTGGGTTTTGTAAGTATAAAAAAATCAGACTCTCAGCCATTCATATACTCTAGCACTACCAGCACAGCAGTTAATAAACAATACCTTCTAAAAGCCACCTTCCCCCCCATATTGCCATCGATCTATGAGACCATAATGTTCAGATCATTAACTTCACAATCGGCTTTTATTTTCAACCTCCTGCTCTTTCTCCCATGTCATCATAAGAACCAGGAAAGACTTGAGTTGGGTCCCCCTGGCACTATAATTTCTTACAAGAACAAAAAGGACTGGTACATCCACTGAAGTTGTCAACTATAATTTCTTAAACTGGCCTTTCTTCTGCTGGATTCTCCATGTACAGAATCAGAGAAGCAAAAGATACCTAGAGCTGATCACTGGACAAAGAACGTAGCCACCAGGCTCTGGTGAAATACAAGATGGCACTCCATCTCCAGTCCATGTGCAGAAGCTGACTAGACTGGCAGTTGAATCTTACTCCAGCATAGATAATGGGATACCATCCTCCGCCACACTACAGCCAGCTCATTTAAAGGCCCTGGACAGGATATATGGCCCATTCAGCTTGATTCTCTTACTGAGGGGACTGGCGGAAGAGTTCATAGAATTGTCATAGGGTTGGAAGGGACCTTGGAGGTCTTCTAGTCCAACCCCCTGCCCAAGGTGGGAGATCTCATACCATCCTGGACCTCGTACCATCCCTGACAGATGGCTGTCCAATCTTTTCTTGAAGACCTCCAGCAATGGGCCACCCACAGCATTGGGAGGCAAGCTGTTCCACTGAGGATAAGTCATGAGGATAAGTCAGCAGGTTACCACTGCTGCTCCTCAGAATTCACTGAGTCTCCTTACTCTGCCCAACGGTAGAGCTGGCCCTGGCTTCAAGAAAAGGGAAACCCATTTGCTTGGGAAAGGCACGTACATAGCAGAGACCTCATCCAGCTCCTCACGCAGCAAGCGGAGTGACTGGCTGTGCTCCAGGTGTGTCCTCTCCCATTGTGGAAGGACCTCCTCCAGACGGACACCCAACTGGGCCAGTATTCGCAGCACCTCCTTCTGGGTCAGGCCATCCCGCTGAGACTGCCCAGGTAGCTCCGGCACACATTTCCTACAAAGGGCAGAGGAAAGGGAAGGTTGCGCTGAGAGATTTTTAATGCCTCAAGTGAAAGGGTGGGTAATATCTAGCCCTCGAGATGTCGGGGACTTCACCTCCCAGGAGCACCAGCCAGCATTGCCAATGGGAAGGGATGAGGGGAGTTGTAGTCCAAAGAGCATACGACCAAAGCTTCCCCATCTCTGCTCAAGCAAGACATCGCCTTTCAAACTTTTATCCCCACAATACCTGATCTCTTCCAGCAGAGAAACACAAGCCAAAGCAGAGGCTGTGCTCAGTTTTCCATCAATACTCCCTTCATACCCTGGCCCTCCTCGTAAGTGCCCGCTCTCCAGTGCCCCTCGCAAGCTGTTGATGGCGGCAAGGATAATGGCGGTGGACTGTTGGAGTTCACCCTCCTCAGAGCTGGAGGGCCTCAGGGCTGTCGCTGTCGTGCTGTTAATTAGGTCCAGGAGCTGTTTGGACACCCCAGAGGTCATTCGCTGTTCCGGCTCCTGCCATTCGCGCTCCTGCCGGCCCAGGTCCTCCGCCTGAACCTGCCGCTGTAAGAAACGCAGCTTCTCCTAAAGGGAATGCCACAAGGGAGTTGGGATAAAAATTAGCATCACGTCTGTTTGCTTATGTTTTTATCTGGTGTATTTGTATGCTGTCCCTTCCACATATTCCTACTCTGCTGCCTTGTTTCAGAGCACAAGACACTGCGGCTAAGTTAGAACTGAACCCATTCATTTCAAATCTACCATTTCAATTTTAGGATCTTTTGAGGGGGAGGCGGTGATGGTCCTGCAAGACTGAAACAGAAACTGGCTGTGCATGGCTCTGATTAGATAGTGTCTGTAGTGTGCCGAACCCCCCATTGTTTTTAATTAATAATGAATAAGTAGATTAATATCCACAGAGCACTTAGGCCAAAAAAAGAAAGAAATTCAGCCAGAAGCATGAGAAGAAGGGCAAGACTCAATCCAGCTATTTTATACTGTATCTTCAACTTACTGCCTGAAATATACTTTAATATTTGGGCAAATGTCCATTAACCTACTTAATTGGCACATTCATGAACTTCACGCTATTCATAAAGTTTGATTTTAAAATTGTAGCCCTGGAATTCTCTTTTGGAAGAGGCACTTTTTTTCACCACCGTAAAACTGAGGGAGAGATTTAGAAGACGGGGGGGGGGGGGGAATAGGCCAAGATGATGATACCGTTTCCCCAAAAATAAGACAGGGTCTTATATTAATTTTAGCTCCAAAAAACACATTAGGCCTTATTTTGGGGGGATGTTTTATTCTTTTTCATGTACAACAATCTATGTTTATTCAAATATAGTTATGTCATCTTCTTCTGGTTGCTGCACAATGGTGGAGGGCGGGCTTTCACTTAACTAGGGTTTATTTTTGAGGTACGGCTTATATTACGAGCATCCTGAAAAATCATACTAGGGCTTATTTTCAGGTTAGGGCTTATTTTCAGGGAAACATGGTAGTTATAAAGTTTTTATTCCAGTATTCAAACATTTCTGCAGAAAATATTTTCTGTTTTATTTTGCTACACAGAGGTCTAGAAACTTGGTTTTTAAAAACATTCTCTGCCTTCCACTAAACAGCCTATAATGCCAAGCTCTGGTTACAATGCCAATTCTTGATAAATATCCAACCTAATTTGATTTCTTCAAATAGTTTTGTTATATTTAATTTTTATTCCAGTATTCAAACATTTCTGCAGAAAATATTTTCTGTTTTATTTTGCTACACAGAGGTCTAGAAACTTGGTTTTTAAAAACATTCTCTGCCTTCCACTAAACAGCCTATAATGCCAAGCTCTGGTTACAATGCCAATTCTTGATAAATATCCAACCTAATTTGATTTCTTCAAATAGTTTTGTTATATTTCCACATATAGTTAAATTACTAAGTTTATGCAAGCATGGCAGCATAACCCCGGCAGTTACCCAGGCCCCCACATTCCTCCGTTCCATCCTTCTCACCTCGAGGAGTGCTGAGTTTTTCTTCAGCACATTGGTCTTAACTTCAGCATCCTCTACTGATTTCGTCACCTTTCTGCAGCTCTCCTATTGAAGAAGATGGAGAGGGAGCTTCAGAGGCCAGTCAGTAGGAGGCAGGGAGGGAATGGAATGGTTCTCCATTCATCTGCAGATCAGCCACTTACTTGTCAACAGCAAAGAGAACATGCAGACATAAATTTGCATATGATTGCATATGCTAATGTGTATGCATAGATTCAATATCAAAATTCCTTTTATAGTTTAAAACTATAATGGAACCCATGTGGAGAAGATAGTGACGCAGTGTGCCTGCTGAGTCTTCTGTCCATATCCTAAGTTTGAGCAAATGATGGATCCTCTTCCTTGTACCTTTAAGTAGGGACTAGACTAGACAGCCCTTCTAATGGAGGACACCTTTAAAAAGAGGACTGTCTTCTGGAAAGGGAATGTATAGCCACCCTACTCATATTCTTCAAATCCCGTGAAGGACTAGTTCCCCTCTATTTGGCACTGGTTAGGCCTCCATCTTGAGTACTGTGTCCAGTTCTAGACACTGCACTTTAAGAAGGATGCCGACAAACTGGAATACGTTCAGAGGAGGGCAACAAGGACTGGAAACCAAGCCCTGTGAGGAAAGACTGAAAGAACTGGGCTTGTTTAGCCTTGAGAAAAAAAGACTGAGGGGAGATGTGATAGCATTTTTCAAATACTTGAAAGGTTGTCATACAGAGGAAAGGCAGTATCTGTTCTCAATCATCCCAGAGTGCAGGATGCCTAATAACGGGCTCATGTTAAAGGAAGCCAAATTTTGGATGAATATCAGGGGGGGGGATTCATTTAGAGCAGTATGACCAATTAGTACCTCAGGAGGTGGTGAGCTCTCCAACACTGGAGGCATTCAAGAGAAAATTAGACAACTCTCTGTTGGATTCCTGCATTGCTCAGGGGGTGGGATTGATGGCCTTAAGGGTTCCTTCTGATTTCATTATTCTGTGATTCTGTTCAGTCCTTTGCTCTTCATTCCCATTTTCAGAAGGATTATTACAGAGAGTTGAGGCTCCCTGAAACTCGGGGGGCAGGGAGTGGATGAGCTCTTGAAGACATTTTCTTCTAATATAGCATGTTGAGCTCATGAAAATCAAATTTGGGGGGGAAAACAGGATCTCCACTAGTCTTAGGCCTCTGGCAGTTCTCCTGTAGCCATGGAAACAAACAAAAACGGTCTTGCAGTGTTCCTGCCTGGTTCAGCCCACTCTTTACCAGCTCATTCAAATAGATGTCTTCTTGACATCTAACGATCTCTACCAATTTCTGCAAATCCCAGAAATTTGGCATCATCTCCCCACCTCCATCCTCCGCTTCCTATTCTACTATCCCTGTATTTGGAATAAAATCAAGGAAGCTTCATTTTTGCTGCCACCCTTATTATCTCACCACATATAAAGGGGGGGGGGAGAAGCAAATAATATATCATAATGAATAAATATATTTTTGTTTGTTTTGCAAAATTAAAGGTTTAAGATGGCATAGAAGTGCAATAAATCAATAAAATAAATGATGAGGTTCCAGGATAAGGAAAACATTAGCATCTGAAATGGTCTACTGGCAGCTGGCATGCCTTGGGACCAGTCCACACTTCTCTTTCTGTTCCTCACCTTGAGCTGAGAGCAATATTCCTCCAGGTCCTCAGCCTCCTGCCTGCGCCGCTCCAGGTTTTCACACAACACCGTGCACTCACTCTGCACACAGGTAGAGCAGAAGGGGAAGGGCTGAGAAGGCAGCAAGTGTGACCAGGTGGCTATCTCGCTTCTATCCTGATCAAACACTCCTCTCTGGATTTTTCAGCTCAATCTAACAACCCAAACTTTCTTTTAAAGACACACACTGCTAGTGGGAAGTTGTTGTTTTTAACTGGAAAAGGCTTTTAGTTTTGCACCCCACCATTTTAAACAAAATTAACATTATCTATGAGAAAGAGGGAAATCTTCAAGAGTTCCCTCTTCCAGTGCAATCCTATTCACATCAAAATTATCAATATAGAATGCACATAAATACATACTTCCAGATTCAGTCATTCATGGCCAGCTGCTTCCTACAGCAGAATCTGAATTCTTCATTCAGATCGGCAAGCATTTTGGGAAAGGGGCTTTGAATTTTTCCAAAACACCCTGGGGCAAGGTATACCTATGAGATTAAAATGCCTATGAGATTACAAAGAACATACTGTACACGCACACACAGGTCTGCCTGTCACTTGGTAGTTCAAACTGCGGTCTAGTTGCAACCTGAGGTGGTCCCTGAGGCTACCAAAATTGGTAGAGCAAAATGGTAACAAACCAAAGTATTTTTAAGGAATGTCACCTTCCCACCAAAAGCCAAAGAAGCAACTCACTTTCAAATTAACATAAAAACACCTTGCCTCTTCAGCAGTCTGCAAAGCTCCAGAACAATGTTCAGGTATGAGCATTCACTGCCCTGGGCATGTCTGTTGAGCTTTGCTGAAAGGTGGTAAGAAAATGCGGTGTTCTGTGAAACTACCTAACAAACCAGCACAACAGTTCTTAACGGGATGAAATTAAAGAGTCATTGGTCTAGTCCAGTGGTTCTCAATCTTGGCTCCACAGATGTTCTTGGACTAAGAAGCCTTCACCACTAGCTGGGCTGCCCAGCATTTCTGGGAGTGATCGTCCAAGAACATCCAGGGATTTGAGTTCGGAATCACTGGTCTTCTTGATCGTGGCTGAAGTAAGCAAACTTTAGGCTCTCAGTGGCCTAGCGTGTACTAGAAGAGGTGTTGGAAAGGGGACAGTTTCCAGACCTTCAGATTCTGAACATGGTGGTTGACTTTGGATGTTCTCTCCTTGAGGCTGGTGATAGAGTCCTTGGCTCTCAAGAGGCCGCTATTGCTCGCTTCCTGCTGACGAAGAGGGCAAGAAGGGGATGAGGTCAGATGGGTAGCCCAGTTATTGCTGACCTCTCCATACTTCTTGAGCATTTCTTTCAACCACTTGGATTTTAAAATGGGGGAGAAAGTTGAGGAGAGGAAGTCTTTGGGACAAGAGGCTTTAGAAGGAGACCTTGGGGAGGGGACTTTTTCGACCACAACTCTCATTATTTATGCCGGCTGGAGAATTCTGACAGTGAAAACAAGTAATCCTTCCATGCTGTGTTTTAGAAGTACACCATTGACAGTCATGAATTTTGGAGGATGCAAAGTAGAAATAGAGGACAGCTGTGTGTGACGAATCTCTTGCAATTGAGGTTTACTCAGGAAATGTAAGAGGCCAGGCCTGAGACACTAGGAAACTGGGGTGAAGGGTGATGAAAGACAAACAATCCAGGGTAGAACTGAGGAAATATAAGAAAGAAAACAACCCCAGGAAAGGACTTTACCAGAGGGGGGGAAATCCAGGAATGGTAACTAACAATTGCTGGTGATAATATTCTCACAGATAGTAATGCAAATCGATGCATACTGTACATTTTATACATTATCATTGTTGTACACATGGCTGTACAAAATAACTATATATTTTAAAGGTGACACTTCCAAGGCACAGAAAAGCAATTGTAGAAGTGGGTATGGGAATGTCACTGTTGAGAATAATGATTGAAAATTTTGGACTACAACCCTCAGAATCTTCCACATAGTACACAAAAAAACTGCTTCCAAAACTTACCCATGCTCTTTGGTGGATTCCAGAAGATCCAGTCCACAGCCAGAATACTACCAGCAATTTAAGCATGCATAAGCTACAGTGACAAACTGCTGCTAATTAATAAGGTGAGGATTGTTTTCTGGGTTGTACTCTTGCATGTAACCAAGACTGTGGCCAGCACCTCATTAATTAGTGCTGATTCACCCTCAACACCTATGCAATTCCACTTTTAGACATATGTAAATCACTAGTAGCATTCTGGCAAGTAACTTTTCCAACCTCTATTTCTTTAGCCAACTTCCTATGGCTCTAAACAGGAATGCCACACATTGTAATTCAGAAATAATTTTCCCCCTTGGCAGTAAGAACCACCTCTTTCTTTTCTTGTTTGTTTGTCAAAGTTACAGGAGGAGGGTTACTAAAATGCAAAATTAGGTGGCAAACTCAAATAATGTCATTACTGTAAACATATTGCCTTGGGCAAGCTGCACAATTCCAGGGCACCCCCAGAAGAAGGCAGTTGTAAACCACTATTGAGTATTCCCTAAACAGAAAACCTTGAAAAGGGTCACCATAAGTCAGAACTGACTTGACAGAACATTATTATTATTATTTCAATTCTGTTTCCCACCTGTTGGCTCAATTGTAAACCACTATTGAGTATTCCCTAAACAGAAAACCTTGAAAAGGGTCACCATAAGTCAGAACTGACTTGACAGAACATTATTATTATTATTTCAATTCTGTTTCCCACCTGTTGGCTGATTATTATTATCATTTCAATTCTGTTTCCCACCTGTTGGCTGGAGATGTCCTCTTCATCTTCAGACCAAGTAGACTTGATAGGAAGCAGGGGATCCCTTCTCTCACCACCTGCTCCCCCTGAAGGACCTCCATCATCTGTAGATTCATTCTCAGTGGTGGAATCATCACGTTCCCCATCAATCAGGTTCAGGAGTGAAACATTGGTGCAATCATTTCAATTCTGTTTCCCACCTGTTGGCTGGAGATGTCCTCTTCATCTTCAGACCAAGTAGACTTGATAGGAAGCAGGGGATCCCTTCTCTCACCACCTGCTCCCCCTGAAGGACCTCCATCATCTGTAGATTCATTCTCAGTGGTGGAATCATCACGTTCCCCATCAATCAGGTTCAGGAGTGAAACATTGGTGCAGGCAGAAGATCGCTTCAGGTTGAGATTGGGGATTTCATCCGTCAAAAGGGGCTCAGTAACACTGAGACAGGAAAAACAGCACATATATTAACTGAAGACATAGTTTGGAAAAATTACATTTTTGACTCCCTCCCAGAATCTCCCAGCAAGCATGATCACTAGGGGATTTTGAAGGCAAGGTCCAAAAATTTGCTCTTGATAACAAATTTCAGAGGAGCAGTTATTGGGTTACAGTGAAAATACACTTGTGATACCTTAAAGGCCAACAGGGGAGGGCACGGAGTAGGGACCCCTAGGCCTTGCAAGGAATAAATCAGGTAGCCAGGATATGAATTGTTGGGAATGTGAACTCCTGGGCAAGACGAAAAGGATGCAGGACCACAGTACATTACAGCAATGGTTCTCAACCTGGGGTCCTCAGATGTTCTTCATCTATAGCTCTCAGAAATCCTGGCCAGCAAAGCTAGTGATAAAGGCTTCTGGGAGTTTTAGTCCAAGAACATCTGGGGACCCAAGGTTGAGAACCACTGCATTAGAGTGATGATTGCCAGGCTCATGAGTTATTTGAAAAGTGACTCTGTGAATCAAAGAGGCCAAGAGCTGTGATCCATGTCAATCAAACTCTTTTGATGTGACACACCTCCACTCTCAAGAAAAGGGTGCATCGCACTGTGCTCTTTAGAGCTGTAAACAACAACTCCTTTCATAGGAAAGCAGGAATTTGCTCATCATTTAGCCCAGTAGTTCTTTTCTTTTGGTCTTCTGGATATTTTTGACTTCAAGAATCACTGACTTTTGGCCATCTCCTAGCTTCCTATTGTCTCTTCCAGCTTCTCCCTACCTGGCATCCTCCAGATATGTTGAATGATAGCTCTCCTCATTTCCAGACAGGAGGCTGGTAATGATGGGGCTTGAGATCCAGCACATTTGTAGAGTGCCAAGCTGGGAAGGAAGGATAGGCTCTTTTAATAAGCAGATGCTCTTAAGGATGTTAGCCAGGCCACCTGCTGAGACCTATATACAAAACATATGGTCCTTCAAGGAAAAGGTTTCTCTCTTCTCTCATCAACCCCATGATGCCTCTTGATGTTCCCCAAGTAGTGCATTGAACTCCACCTCCACCCCCTCCCTTCCCAGGGTTCCCACCCATGGAAAGAGACGGCTTTCTTCTTTTTGGGGAAGCCTTTGGCACCGCTAGACTTTCCCAGCTGCTCCTTGTTTCCCTGAGGACGGCCCTCCGTCCCTGTTGGCGTGTCTCCAGCCTCATTTATTTCCTTGGACTGCCAGATTGTCTTCACCACAATGTTGGCCATTGCTGGATATGGCATCACTATCTGGTTTCAGCATGAATTTTCCTTCCTGCGCCACACCAGGAAATATCCAAGTCAACTGGCTCTCCAAGGAAGGTGGGGACCTCCCAGCAGCTCTCCATGACTTCACAACAGTTGCCACGGCGCCTAGGATCACATGACTCCACTCTTCTGACCTTCAGCTTGCACCACTGTCATTCTGTGAGGTCAGAACAGTCTTCAGTGGGAAGACATAGAATCCAAGGCCATAGGGCTGAATAGAAAAGAAGCTGCATCTTTAGGTGCCTGATGGGGGAATGTGACTGAGACATCTAAAATTATGCAGGGGATGGATAAAGTGGATAGAGGAAAGCTCTTTTCTCTCACACACAATACCAGAACCAGGAGACATCCACTCAAATTGAGTTGGGAGAGTGGGGACAAAAGAAAATATTTCTTTAATCACTACTTGTTTGTGGAACTCCTTGCCACAGGACGTAGTGATGGCATCTGGCCTAGATGCCTTTAAAAGGGGATTGGACAGATTCCTTGAGGATAAGTTCCACCGCAGGTTACAAGCCATGATGAGGATGTATAATCTCAAGGCTCAAAAGGAAGGTAGTGCAAAATGCCAGGTGAAGGGGAGGGGTATCAGGAGACAGGTATCTAATTATCTCGTGCGCTCCCAGAGGCATCTGGTGGGGCCACTGTGAGATACAGGAAGCTGGACTAATGGGCCCTTGGCCTGATCCAGCAGGGCTCTTCTTCTGTTCTTATGATTTGTATTCCTGCGTTGAGCAGGGGGTTGCCCTCGATAGCTTTATAGGCCCCTTCCAATTTCATGATTCTATGACACAACCTTTGTTAGCCACCCAGTTCAGCTGGCTGGATACATGGAGACGATAGGCTTGTTTGGATGTAACATTAAACTACAGTTTAATTATTGCTTAACTCTTAAGCCCATAACTGAGATAAGTACAGTAACTAAGAAAAATTACAGTTTAGCACAGCAACAATCCACCTAGTGTTCCTACACGCTTGTGCATTTCTCTCTGGTACCGTCATGAGAAAGAATTTGAAAACTTCTGTTTCAATTTTTAAAAGTAGTTACAGCTTTCTGAATACAACAAGCTATTTATTAATCACCCTTATATATGATTTCTTGAACCAAGCCAATTTCAAATCATAATTAAAGATGCTGCTTCTTTCAAAATCTCATAGCTAAGACTATTCATAAATAACAGTAGGGATGCAAAAATTAAAGTGACTTAACTATGGCCAGAAGTGAAAGCTTCCAATTTCTTCTTTGTGGGTAGATCATGCACCTGATCCTCATTACAACTTATCCTTAAACCACTATGTATAAAGCCATGTATAACTGTTTCTCATACCTAGATAAACAAAGATTCAAGACCAGTGGTTCCCAACTTTGCATCCTCAGATATTCTTGGATTAAAACTCATTGAATCCTTCACCACTAGCTGTGCTGGCCAGGGTTTCTAGGAGTTGTAGTCCAAGAACATTTAGGAATCCAAGGTTGAGAACCACTGTTGTAGATGTTCAGCTGCTGCCCACTTCTGGTTTAATGTATTGTTTAAAGGTAGTACTGTATAGTATAGACATCCTTCAGTCTCGAGAGACTATGGTAACATGCTCTGTATCGAGAAGTGTCCTCTCCAGAGCATGAAGCCTGGGTAAAGTAGTATGGAGGATAGGCTGTTACCCAAGCAGCAAATCCCCCCTCTCCACGTTGCTGAAATGGTCCAATGGAAAGGCAAGAGCCAATACAACTGGTTCCAGCAACGTCACAGGAGTTGGCAGAACGACACATGCTGCCTTCAGCTCCGGATTTTGCCTCGAGGTTAACTCCTGAAGCCTTTTCCATGAGTGGACATAGCCACAAGGCAGTGGAGGTTTGAAATCGGAGTTTTCCTTCTCCTAGATGGGCTGCCTTCCATGGCTGACGAGCCCCACCTACCCGGCCTGCTCTTTAATAGTGCAAAAGTATGATCTGATCCACTTCTGGTTTAATGTATCGTTTAAAGGTATGCCCTTCGGAAAAGCTATTGCACTGATGAAGTTACTCTTCCATCGTCATTCTACTATTTTCTTTTCCATACTTAATTTGCCCATGAGGAGCCAGGACTGAGGCCAAGAAACCTTCAGTAAGGTTGCAATCTTATGCCTCTTTACCTGGAAAAACCATCGTTAATGCAACAAGACTTATTTCTAAGTACAGTAGACTTCTTCAGGATTGTAGTGTCAAGGAGACTTATTTCTAAGTAGACTTCTTCAGGATTGTAGTGTCAAGTATTACTTAAATAAAGCACCGTAATCTATTTACAAGGGTTTTTTATTTTCTTCTAAAGAGCAACAGATTCATTCTGGTAAATGTAACAGCTTTGACAGGTAACTCCACTTTTTTTTTCTTTTTATGCGTAAGAGCAAGTACATGAAGATCAAAAGCTTGCTTGCAGTGCAAATATCTCTGAGCCAAATTATACATGACAGCACCCATCGATGAAGCGCTGTCCCATGTAAGTACTTCACATATTCATCACACACACACACAAACTCTTCCTCTAAAAGTTGGTTCACCTGCACTTTGTGTCAGTATGCCAGCAACAGTTCAGGCAAGTATGCTGCTGGTTAGGTTAATTCTGCAGCTGAACAGTTTAACTCACCTGGTAAATGACAGCGGGAAGGAGTACATGGAAGTCTTATATAGGCATGTATTTCACTTGTGACCACGAGAGCTGGCACCACCATTAGGCAGCCATCTCAGGTGAAAGATGCTGGGGGAAGGCAAAGACTACAAAGGCAAGATGTTGGAGAACAGAGCCCATTTCACTCAGATGTGACAAACTCTGAGGTTTCAGCTGCTCATCTCACCCCCTTCAATAAACAGAACGGGAGGAGCACTATCTTTGCCTCATAGAAAGACTCTCAGGGCATTCTGGGTGGACACCAACATATCTATTTCATTGACCAATATTCCCTTGCTGCAGAGGTCCTCAGCACCAGCTGCTGCCAACAAGGAACATCTGCTTTCACCACAGTCTGAACAAACTCAGGCTGTAGCTCAGCCCTACTCCTACCTTGCTTTGGAAGTCTACAGTCAGAGGGTGCCATCAGACAGGGAAGCAGGTTCCCATGGGATCATAGTGTCATTTCACTGGATGCAATCTACTTTAAAGTGACCCTTCCATGCATGCACAATCTGGTCCCCATCATTCCAGCCCAGCTCCAAAAAAAATTGCACTCAGAGTAGTCCTGCTGCTGAACCTTAAACATACAGTATCTGGACTGGTACAGATCACAATTAGGCTGGTTTATGGTTTCTTGTATGTTGTCTGGTTGCTGGAAAATTCACACAATCTGAAGAGAAACTGGAGTATATAGAAAACAGATCAAACCTAACTGTGCCCCAAACAATCCAAAACGTGAACTACCATGTTTCCCTGAAAATAAGACATGCCCCAAAACGTGAACTACTGTGTTTCCCTGAAAATAAGACAGGGTCTTATATTAACTTTTGCTCAAAAAACACATTAGGGCTTATTTTCAGGGGATTTTTTTCCTGTACAGCAATCTACATTTATTCAAATACAATAATGTCATAATTTATTTTATTTTATTTATTTATTTGTTCGATTTATATCCCACCCATCTGGTACCTGTATATTCTACCACATCATCTTCTAGTTGCTGCACAATGGTGGAGGGCGGGGTTTCACTTAACTAGGACTTATTTTTGGGATATGGCTTATATTACAAGCATCCTGAAAAATCATACTAGGGCTTATTTTCAGGTTGTCCTATTTTCAGGGAAACAGGGTATATCACCGTCTGATCAAACCCGGAGCCAGAAATACTGCCTACTAAGCCATGGCTAAAGGGGATGGGCAGGAAGCACTACCCCCATACCAGATTCTTCCTACAATGTTGTAAAACTCTTTCCCCATCCAATTCAACAGTCTTCAGACTTTAATGGCGAAGCTAAAATATCTTGTAAATAAATAAATAAAATAATTTTAAAAAGCATTGTTGCAATGCTTAGTCTTTTCTTAGTGGTACTGAATAAGTTCCATTAAAAGTATTACAGCTCAGGTTCCTTTTACCCATGAGTGGCCAAAGTGCAGCTCTCCAGACACTGTTGGACTGCAAGCTTAGCATTCCTCAATAATTGTTAGGCTCGATACAGTTAATGGGAGTTGTAGTCTAATAGCATCTGGAATGCCACAGTTTGCTTCCTTGGCTCATACACGGCCCCCCCTCAAATGCATCATTTTGCAAGCAAAAAGCAACAAACACGACTCAACAAAGTAGCCAGGAAAATATTTAACATTTTAATTGATGCTTACAAAGACAAACCCTTAGTGTATTTTCTCCCATATTGTTGTTGTATGCTATCAAGTTGCCTCCAACTTATGGCAACCCTATGAATGAATGATCTCCAAAATGTCCTGTCTTCAAATGCCCTGCTCAGCCCTTGCAAATTCAAGCCTGTGGCTTTCTTTAATCTCATACTGTATATGGTCTCCCTCTTTTCCTGTTACCATCAACCTTTTCTAGCATTATTGTCTTTCCCAGAGAATCCTGTCTTCCCATGATGTGGCCAAAGTAGCTTCAGTTTTAACATTTTTGCCTCCAGAGACAGTCCTGACTTGATTTTATCTAGGACCCATTTATACATCATTCTGGCAGTCTTGGGTATCAACAAAGCTGTCCTCCAGTGCCACATTTCAAACGAATCAGTTTTTTCCCCTGTAAGTTTTCTTTACTGTCCGGCTTTCACACCTGTACATGGTGTTCTGGAAAACAAGAGTTCGGATGATCTTGGCCTTGATCTCCAATAGAGATGGGAAGGCCTGGGGAAAAATGGGGTGGGGTGGGGAAATGGAATGTGAAATACAGTATGTTCTTTTCGAATGATAAATAATTTATATGACATGGTATTAAAACTATATAACATGATCTTAATAAAAGCCTTCATATATTTTAAGTTCTCCAATGACATATCCTTGTTATGTGCCATCAAGTTGCCTCTGATTTACGACAATGAACAATCTCCAAAATATCCTGTCTTCAACTGCCCTGCTCAGTTTCGTAACCTCAAGCCTGTGGCTTCCTTTAGGGAGTCAGCTCATCTCATATTTGGTCTCCTTTTCCTGCTCTCTTCCACCTTTTCCCGCATTATTGTCTTTCCCAGAGAATCCTGCCTTCTCATGATGTGGGCAGTAGAACAGCCTGTTTCTTTTCCTGCTGTCTTCCACCTTTTCCCGCATTATTGTCTCTCCCAGAGAATCCTGCCTTCTCATGATGTGGGCAGTAGAACAGCCTGTTTCAAGATTTTTGCCTCCAGAGATAGTACACCTGATGATCTTTTCCAATGCTTTCATTGGGACTACTTCAATTTTGTTCATTGTCAAGGTAACACCTGATGATCTTTTCCATGCTTTCATTGAGACTACTTCAATTTTGTTCATTGTCAAGGTGAAAGCACAGAAAGGGCTGACAAGCAATCTGTGCCCCCTCCACCTTCAGATCTCTAGATAGAAGCCACCTGCACCTCAGGTCCACGCCAGAGCTAAGAAGGAGACCCTCTGACTTTCCCTTCCTTTTACAGGCTCCTCGCAGCTCCTATTGGGCCAAACGTGCTGACGCCATCCGTATCGCCTCTCCGGAAATGCAGTCCAGTTGCCAAGTCGCCTCTTCCCCACGTTCCTTTTGCCGCCGTTTCACTGTCAGCTCATTCCCCCAATAAAACGAAGCGCTCGTTTTGAATGACAAGGACCTTTTGCTCCAATGAGAGCCTGGAAGAACTGTTGACTGGTCGTCCATGGGGCGGGGCCTAAGCTTGCTGATTTCGCAAGAAGCCACCGCTAACACCGGAGGGGAAAGGGCGGGGCACTATTTGAACGACATTTCGCAAGGAACCATTGAGAAAGAGAAACTACCTAACGGGGCGGGCACAAGGGAAGTTATAGGCGGGATTTATCGGGACCCACGCCCAATGGAGCTGTCGGAGGACTTATTTGACATAAGGTCTCCACCGGATCCAATAAGGGAGGTGCGCAGGCGGGATTTAAAGCTATCGGCCAGTCAGGTAGAAGGATGGTTTGAGTTTAGTCAATAGGAATCAGAATGGAATTGAGAGGCAATCGTCTAGCCCAATAGGGAGGGAAAGCGTTTGTGACGGACGGCACAAGCGGCCAATCTGGTTCGTACGGGTCGGTTCGGTGTTGCTGGGCCAGGTTCGGGCGCGGAGCGGAACGGAGCATCGCCGGGGTCCCGATCCGCCACCGCCACCATGCCGGCCGTTTCCAAGGGAGACGGGATGCGGGGCCTGGCCGTCTTTATCTCCGACATCCGAAACTGTGAGCAGGCGGCGGCCGTCGTGGGAAGACTCTGCGGGAGGGGAGGGGCCGTTGGAAA